ACAGAAACATATAATTCGTTTATTTATAATTCTAAATTCATTGGGGTTTCAATTTTGCTTTGAATTTCGTTCTTTTTCGCATTTTTTATTCTTTTAAATCTTACGATTTGATTGGCTGAACAGCATGTGACAATACATGAACTTTGTGTAACATTGGACGGTTCCCCCTGTTAGACAACGATCAGAGTTAATTTAATATATAGTAAATGTATAGAAAGCTCAAGCTGCAATAACTCTTGAATCAGCAAACCTGCACAAATAAAATTATATTTGTCAGGTTAGTTATAATATGCTCTTTAACGTAATAATGCTTTTTTTTTTTTTATTTCTATTGTCTGAAGCGTAGCGAAGGAAATAAAATAATACCAAAATACTCATTTTTGATGTATTATTAATAAAAATATCAAAATGTAACTTTGAGTTTTTCTGTGCATATTGTGACACAATATGTAATAGTTACATTTTTAATATTTTGATCAAAATGAAAATTCTTTGTTATCTGCTACGCTTCAAGCAATAGAAATAAAAAAAATAAAAAAAAGAGCGTTATTATGTCAAAGAGCACATTATAACGAACCTGACAAATATAATTTTATTTGTGCTACAAAAGACTTGTTATATTTATTGTCACGGCTGAAGCTGAAGCTTGAAATTAGGACTTCAATTTAAAAATATAAACTTTACCAAAATCCACTTATACATTTTAATTATCAAAACTAACCATAAATCCTAAGATAACTATAAAAAAAAGCTATAAAAATGCACACTAAAAAAATTTTTTGAAAATTTAAAATTTCAAGCTTCAGCCGCAACATTTATTTTTCGTTATTAACTTTGCTCATTTTTATGAGGCCAGCATATTAGATGTATCAATGAGATGTCATGGAATGATATATCTTGCATTCTGTTATTTTTTATATATTGTCTCAAATCAATGCTTTTTTTTAACCACACACACAAACTTCTAATTTGCAATATGTTGTGCTATGAATAAACCCTATCTTCAATCCAAAACAAGATATGCGAATGCAGACTTTTTTGACTTTGCATTCTGTATCCTAACAGATGATCTTCTACCAATTCTAATTTGGCATATGTAAATGCTGTCACTAATTGAACGAGGTAACCCACTCTAACTATAAATTGTAATATAGCCCAGGTTTCTCCGGAGTATGTTACTCTAACAACCCTTGGCATTGTAATAAAATCTGGTAGTGCATAGATTGGCAAAATCGTTATACTAGCGAAGACTAGTATTCAAAAATCAATTCATTTCGTATACCAAACTAGGGTTGCCTGTTGTAATAGATTTATTAGAATTGGAAGGTTGCAACCTTTTATTATGAAGTCATAATCTTTTTTCCGTAATAGGTGTAATAGTCAGTTGTAATGGGTGTACGTAATGCAGTGTTGAAAATTTTTGCACAGCATATTTGTGTCAAATTTTCAACACTAGTGTAATGACGGTCTGATTATGCCAATATCTAAAACAAAATAAGAATCTGATTTATACTTATTTAATCAAAATATAAAGACATACAAGAATTACTCAAGTACAATAACAGATTGTTCCTACCCAGAACAGGTTTTTGATAGCCAAAATAGTTAGTACACAAGATGAAATCAAATTTTAATACCAGTCTTCGCTGATCTATATTTTGCTACAATACCTCCATTGTATATTAATATATGATGTATCACAGCGTCTATATTATACAATGATTTTTTTTTAAGAATTACAGAATTATGAAAGATCAATATTCCTTTATAATCGTATAATCTTTTGTAATTGTGGTCTGTGTTAAACTGCTGGTCTTTGAACAAGCCAGGCTTAAAAAACTAAGACGATTGTAAACTAGAAGGACCTCATAACATGTAAACCTGAGCGAATAATCTTTGTTCGTTGAAAATCATAGAATCAAAAGGATCCAACAGCAACAAAAAGAAAAAGCAAAAAATAAGGACAATAGCTAATGTTATTTATAGTCAAATAAAATTATAATTGAAAGAATAGCATCATATTATTTTATATGTGTAAAGAATTGAAATAGTGGGTTTAAAATTTAAGAATGGAATTGACGATGATAAGTTTATTGAAGCATATATAAAAGTTTACAATGTATAGGTGATATTCAGAATTCAGTAATACTATGTTTTAATATATCTTATTATTAAGAGATTGAACGAAAGGATGTCCTATAAAGAATCAATACAACTTCTAATATAGATACAAGATAAAACAATCTAGTTATTGTAAATGTAATTACCTTATTATGGATTGCTTGAGACCAAGTTACATATTTTTTGAAACTCTCAAAGGTATATACGAATGGAAAATACATGTGATATGATATGTGTGTAATATAGATAATCATTTGGTATTTGTTAAATCATGATTTTGTCAAAATTTTAACTTAATGAAATGAATGCGATGAATGACGAAGGTTCAAGAAAAAGGCATAGGTTGTCTCTAGAAAACAATGAAGAATTTAGTTCAGAAGTCGAAGAAGACACCAGAACAACTATTACCACAACGACAGATACTTCTAACTCTCAATTTTCACAAATTTCAACAGTTATACAACCATCAAGCTCAAAAAATATGCTACAAAATAAGCACAAATCACGCGTATTTTCTGAAGTATGGGATTACTTTGTTAAAGGAAGTGAAAAAACCAACGGACACTATGAGGCAACTTGTAGTTATTGTAGGAAAACCTGGTCACGAGGAAAACCAGCACAATTAGAAGCGCATTTGTCAAACGAATATGCTAGTTGTCCGGATGATATATCACATTATTGGTGTAAAAAAGTTGCTGAAAGTGATATAAATTATATTAGAAGACCAAAAACAAGTAGTGCTTTACCAAACTCCAAGCCACAAACAACAATGACATCCTATTATATGTCAGACCGCTCACTAACAAAGGCTATTACTAGCTGTCTTGATCAAAAAGTAATCAAAGCTTGGATAATGGCAGGAATTCCTTTTGATATTATTGATAATCTGTTTATTTGAGATATGTTCAAGGAATTTAACTCTGCATATAGCCTGCCCTCGAGATCAACTTTATCAAATCGATTGTTTGATGAAGAATTACGAATCAATAAAGCAATTGAGAATGATTTAAGTAATGCAGATCATTTGACCTTAGGTTAGTATTATTAAATTTATATATGATCTTTAGTATGAAGCATCCTATAAAACAGTATTAATTTTTTAATTACTAAGTTTTAAAATCATTAATTTTATTATAAAGCCTTGGACAGCTGGATGTCACCATCAACAGATTCTATTTACAATTATGTTGTCACAACCGATACTCGGAAAGAATATTTGATCGGACTGAAAAATTATTCCAATCAATCTCTTATCGGTGAATTTTTGGCAAGTGAAATATCAGAGATTATTGAAAAAATTGGCACAGACAAATTTGCGGCTGTTGTAACAGACGCAGCATCAAACTGCAATGTTGCACATAAAAACACAAGAAATATATCTACATATCTGGAACGTTCGTTGCGCTGCTCATGCCATCAACCTTATTGCAGCTGATTTGGTTGAATTAGAGAGCATAAAAAAATTAATTAATGATTGTGGAAAGGTCAATTGTTTTTTTAAAAATTCTCATACAAGTAATTTATTACTTACAAAAGGACTTGTAGATATGAAAATCAAAGGTGGTGGGCTAAAAACGTGGGTAAAGACTCACTGGGGATCTTTATATTCAACTACTGACTCAATGCTTCGTGCATGTCCAGTGTTTGACTGGGTAAGCAAGTTATAATATTATTATACATTGTGACAGCTTATACTCAGATTTGGGATTCTATTAAATAAATTCTGTTGTTAGATACTTGCTGATCATGGTGAATCAATTACTAATGAAGAGGTTAAAATTTTGATATTGAATGAAAGTTTTTTTACTACCTGTCGTTTTGTACGCTCAGTGTGGAAACCTATCAAAGAAATTATTCACATGTTAGAAGCTAATATTGCGACGTTAGCTGATTGCTTTGTTTATTTGATTAAGCTAGCCGCAGCAATTAATAACTTATCTGAAGCAAACAGGTTTAAAATTTCAGCCATTCATGTTTTTAATTGGCGTTACGAGGAATTTTTGCATCCACTTTATATTTTAGCCTATTATATTCATCCAAAATATAGAGGTAAGGTCTTTCATAATGGCTTGGAATATGGCAAAAAATCTATATCTTTTAGCTCATAATACATTTAATAAGATTATGATTAGATAAAATAGTGATTCTGGCCGATATAAAAAATTTGACTAAAGCAAATTATCAGATTAGCCAGTTAATTTTTTTTAAAATCAGAACTACGCTACTTCATGAAACGGAAAATAAACAAACCTAAATGAGACAATAATCAAACGATTTATCGGCTTAGAGTGTTTTCAAGCATCTTCCTTAATGTGATCAAGGTTGTGCACAAATACTAAAATTAATTAATCTTCATAGCAATTTGGCCGAAAATTCATAGTGAACATTAAATTTTAGCTAGCCAACATAACTCTATAATAAAAAAGATGGGTTTGTCCATCTTTTTTTCATTGCGATGATGGACTCACTTGACCAGCCCAAGTATTTTTTGCCAATTAAAAATTGAGCTCTGACATATTAATTTAGGTACTTGAGAGACTTTTAGTCAATAAATAATAATCGACTAGGATCACTATCAGTTGTTTAGCATGTGATATATTTCTGATTGGGTGAAAGCTACTGTATTATATTAATTTATTGATCAATTTGAAATCACTTAATTTTTAGGAAAAGGTTTAAAAGATCAGGGGTTTCATAGAGCAGCACTTACATCTCTTGAACTTTGGCAGAATCTTGGTCATACTCGGTCAGAAGGTGAAGAATTGATTGCACAATTGCGCCGTTTTGAGGCACGCTTACTACCATTTGACCTCCTCTATGTTGCTAATATGGATACTCCAAAAATTTGGTGGGGTTCTTTCACAAATCAACCTCAATATTTAACTGAATTGGCGCACAGGATATTTTCGATTTGCCCTACACAAGCCGGTTGTGAGAGGAATTTCTCAACATTAAAGTGGATTCTGGGAGAGCGACGAGTAGGCTTGGGTTTAAATAAGCTGGAAGGACTAGCACGAACTAGATCATATTATATAACTAACATTCGATGTGAGCTAAGTTTTTTCGGTAAAGAATTGACAGAGAGTAAGCTTCGAAATGCATGTAATATAGCATCAGTTGGTAATGTAATGAATTGTGAAGATGATCAAATGAGGGTTAATAGTGAGAATTCGTTAGATAATATAGTATCTGATCATCCTACAACCCTATTAATTGAAGATATTGTAGATTTGACGGTTGAAAACAATTCTGAACGTTCAGAAAGGACGGCCCAAACCATTTCTCCTGCTGATTTAGATTATGATCCTCTTGACGTACTAAATAGTTTTTTAGAACGTGAAAATCAAAATAATAATCAATAAGTATGATTCATGTTCTTGAAATATAATGTTGATATCGTTGTTATGACCAAAAAATAATTAGAATTGAAAAAAAATGAGTGCATGGCATTATCTATCTAAAATATGCCGATATGAGTTATGCAAGTGGAATCAAAGTCGAAAAGATCACTACAAAAAATCTGCTGAATTTGGAAATACTATTGGAATGTGCATGATTGGATATTATTGTCATTGTGAAATAAGACATTCACATATTGTCAAAAATCCGCAAAGGCTGGTGGTTCTTTTGGAACATACTGTATAACGATGAATGATGAAAGAATTAGGGCTAAAATATTATATATCTAAAATCTGCTAACATGGGTGATGCCAGTGGAAAATATATGGTTGGTTGTTACGAAAAAAAAAATAAAAGTTGAAAAGGATAAGCGTAGATCATTATTAGATGCGTAACGCTTTTGCAATAACACAAGTTGTTATTATCGAAATGAAATTTTAGTAACAAGAGATACAAAAAGCTAATTATTACATTTGGTAATACAAATAAATTCTTATGATCTCAATTTATTTTCAAGGCACATTTACCAAGATTTATGTAGAGGAAATCTATTTTATGTGATTTTGGTATTAGCCAATATTGAATTAAAATTAAAATTTAGTAAAGTTTAATGCATCACCCCAGAAGTTTATTATGCCAAAAGTTTATAAAGTTATTGATATTTACCTTATTTACTTTGAACTGCTGTTTAATTTGTTCTATTATATTAAATTAATCACATATACAGGCAAAATCATTAACACGCAAAAAAAATTAATAAAATAATGTAGATTCTAATCAAGTCAGTCTTGTAATTCTGATGATATTTTAAGTTTTATTCCTGTATTCGTATATAAATCTCAATTATTATATAGCATTACGGCATACATCAAGTACTTGGCATTATGGCATATAGCAAATATATAGCATTACAGCATATAGCAAGTATATAGCATTATGGCATACATCAAATATATGATATATAGCATTACGACATACGTCAAGTATATAGCATTACGACATACATCAATATATACGGCATCATACCAAACGTCATATATACGTCATTACGTCATACGTCACCTGCTATGGCATATGTCAATATATACAGTATCATGTCAAACGTCACCTTCTACATCTACGTCAAGTTTGATATATTGCTATGACGTTTGACATAAAGGTAGTTACCTTGTGTCTACCAAATATCCACAGCCTTAGCCGTATGCCACTGTATGCCGTATACTAGTGTGTACCATATGCCAGTATATGCCACCTGCCATATGGTTGTACTGTATGCCAGTGTATGCCACCTGCCATATGGTTGTATGCCAATGTATACCACCTGCCATATAGTTGTATGCCAGTGTATGCCATCTGCCATATGGTGTATGCCAGCGTATGCCACTTGGATGTATGCCAGTGTATACCACTTCTACAAATATGTAAAGGGAGGTTTTCCCTCTTAATTCCTGCAGATATTTCCCCTACAATTCCTACCTTTCCTTGGATATTGGATTGGCCATCTAATATCTGTGCTCCTCTTTTTAATGTGAATTGTATTACCTGTATTACTTGTACTATCTGTATTACCTGTATAACTTATTTGTATTACCTTATTACTAAATAAACTATTTTATATCTGTGAATATTGTCCTATAATTTAAGTACCACTGTAACACTAATATTAAAAAGTATAAAAAAACTTAAAAGAAACTATTATTAGAAAGAAAAAAATCTGCTGATCAGACGAAAACTTTTAATTATACAAATTAATAAACTACTATTAAATGCAAGAATCTTGATTATACTACAGTATAACTCATGCCAGAGTTTAAAATTTATATACTAAACACTAGGCAAATTAGTCTCTACTTCTTTATTTATCTATCTAATATATCAAAGTAAAAATTCAATAGGAAAAACTTTATTGACTGGCTTGATTGTAAAGAAATCAAAGCTGAGTCTTGGAGTATTGTTTGTATAGATATTTATTGAGGCATATATATACTAGAGTTGGAGATATAGAAAGATTTTTGGGCATACCTCTGATTTTTTAGTTTTAAAGGCATGTTTTATATATTAGCAAAATATATAAACATAATCTTACAAAAGTTATTATACCCTGAAAAATTCTGCAATAATTATGATAAATGCAGAATATTTTAAAATTTTTAATTACAAAATATTATGAAATATATTATGAAATATTACAAAATATATAACAAAATATTATAAAATTTGTTATGAAATATTTTAATAAGATTCGAACTAATTCGAATTTATTTGACATATGCAAAATTTGTTACTTGAATAGATAGTATTAAAAAACTTTTATAAAATAAATGAAATAGTAAATTAATAATTTAAAAAATACGAATATGTTCGAATTTATCAAAAATATTTTAAATAATTCTTAATTCTTTTTATTTAAAATTAATTCAATATCCAAAAATGTAATAAATTAAAATATATTTGTATAGTATATTTTTTCAATTTATTTTATTTTTAAATTTTTTCGAATTATACTGAAATTAATAACCAAAAAACAATTTATTTAAATAAATAAATACTATAAATTTTATAGCTTAAACTATATTATTTTTTTATTTAAAAATTTTAAATATTATATATAAAAAAGCTAACAGATGTTCTATAGAATAGGTGGACAAACTCTGCTAACTCCACAACTCTAATATTAAAAAATTAATAATTACTAATCATTAGCAAAGCTTATTTCTTTTATTGCCCACCTATTCTATAGAATATTCAAGCTAATTAATCTTATATTAAAAGAAATATATCAGTCAGAGGACATATCCTTTTTCAGGGGTTCCAATTGCTGTTACTTATAAATCAAATGAGTTGACTTACCCAATTTTATATATAAATTTATACAAAAAAATCATTTAAATTAAATTTATTTAAAAATATACATATAAACCTTTC